ACTTCTCAGGTGTTATAAGTATTGTCTTTGTAACAATCAGTCTTATGGACTTAGAACTTCCAGATTAGAAAATATTCAGTCTCCATAAACTTTCCATCTATGTGGCAGGTCTTTGAATTCCATTTGACTTCAGAGGACATGAAAGTCCTAGATAGTTTGAAGAGAAAATTTTGATAAGTCACTTGAAATGGGCCAAATCAGCCCGCTGCAGACAAGCAGGTCAGTGGACGCCTTAGCAATGTCACGAGAAGCGCAGAATGCGCTGAATCAGCCCGTGCCCCAGCAGCAATCCACTGGACACCCTCCTTCCCCGCTCCTCTGTACAGCCACCTGGTTCCACACTACAAAGACGCAGAGGACACCGAACCACCAGACCACTGTACTGGGTAAGTTGGAGTCATCTTCATCTCCCATCAGGACCTGGACTATCTTCAGGGGAAGGGTAGCTGGAACCTGCAATACAACTCTGCAGAGTTCAACCCTACAGGAGGGCAGGGAGCTCAACTTAGGACTTCCAGCAGAAATCTGACTGAATTTCATGGGTCTGCAACTAGCTTGCTGAGACTCATTGACTTCTTTCTGCACACTGCAACCCATGTTGTCTATTGTGACAGCAGAGACATACCCTGAAAGAGGCCCTTCATCTTCATGGTTATTTTTTATTCCTCAAATTACTTTTATTATTTTGGGCTTTTTTCTCTTTTCTTTTCTTTTGCTCCTCTTAAATTTTTTTCCCTACTACTTGCAAATATTTGTTTTTCTCTCTTTTTTCTTTTCTTTTCTTCTTTCTTTTCTCTTTCCTCTCTCTCTCTCTCTTTCTCTCTTACACTCACTCTCTTGCTCTCCTACATTGTTCATCTTCCCTTTTTGTCCCTGTTTTGGTCTTCATTTGGAGTTCTTTATTTTCCTAGTATTCTCTTTTTCCTTCTCACCTGTGTCCTCTGGCCACACTGCTAACCTTCCCCTATCCTTCTTCCCATCTATGCCTCCCTCCCCAACCCGTACTAACTCCCCATCCCAAAGGGTAAAGTTGTTTTATTGAAGAGTTTATTCACTATAGGCTGGGTTGGTCCTTGATCTTGATTTAATTCACACAGCTAAAGGTGATAGATTAATAACTACCACAAAATGTCATTTTCAAAGATGTACTTGATGCAATGGTGTTGCTGATTGTATCACTTGGGCTAAGGTCTTCTGATTGATCTAGTCAATGAACCTTCCTAGTATAAGGAAAATGAGATAGC